AAATACACTGCTGTGGGGAGCAGTGGTAGAGGCAGGAGATGTCTGCTCCCACCAGGCTAGCTCCCTGGTGGGCCAGTGATCTGCAGTGGCTGGAGATAGCTTGATAGTGCTATCTACTAGGGAGGCCCAGAATTCTTTTGTTTTCAAAAGAAAAACAATATTTCTCTCCATGTAAGTTACCCTGTTAAGCTTCAATGAAACACCTTCTAATAACAAATACTCTTTCCAAATTAAAATTTCAAAACATTAAAAGTTACCATCCACCATGCAATATTTTTTATGCTAGAACAAAACTCAAAATATGTAGATTACAAGATTTTATTTTATTGTCTTGCGTTTTCAGAAGTTAAACATGGAGATAATTCAATGGTTACTACTACTCAGTATCAGTAAAGACCATTTCATCCTCATTCAGAAGATATTCTAAAAAGGACTCAATCCCTAGGACGTTTTCTCCATTCCAACAAGAAACTTAACTGCAGCATTAAATCTGTGACAGAGATATTTTGACTTTCAAATTCCGCTATGTAATTTTCAGCTGACAGTAGACAACGTTCTTTTTAATTTCCAGACGGGAACATTACACACAAACCTGATTTCTGAAGAGATCAATTTGATATTCCCAACCCTGGTCTTGATAATCAGATGATCATTTTCAGGGAGGTAGGAGTGACTCCTCACTTAACATCATTTATAAATTGCCAAAATTGAGGCAAATGCTACAAATGGTTCTAGAAATTTACCGTTACTGCTTTAGGAGAGGTTGCAACTACAAAAAGGAAAAAAACACCCTCTTTTAGTCTTTTTCTTCATCTTCTAGTCCTCCTTCCAAAAAATGAGCAATTTCAAAAACATACAATTCAAATGTACAACATTTTTAATATAAAAAATATTTTCAGCATGAGGATGTTCCCTAACTTTCAAAGATGTGTAACTGTCTACTTAAAAAACACATTTCACCTCAAAAATACATAATTTTTTGTTTTTCCAATAAGTGTATCTTTTACTAAAAGAAACAGTTTTTATTAACTGTTACAGAAATGACAGAATCTGCAAACTGCTACATTCCTAAATGTTCAGTCTCTTCACTGATAGTCTCAGAGGCCTAAAATTTTATTTTTATTTTGAAAATGTTTTTCTTCCAGGCTAAGGGTAGAAAATAGGTGCATCAAATGTGTAGCCCCCATACTCCCTCTGGTGGTCTTTTACTCTCACTAACCAAATGTTTTCCAAAAAACTAGAAGTAAATACTAAATTAAGTATTAAAATCCCATTTAAGGATTATAGCCTTATATGTTTAAGTTTCAGTTGAAGGCAGGTCCAGTCTCACCTTAATGAACTTACAGTGCACAGGGCCTTACCTGTCGTGCAAGGGGTTAATTCTCAGCACTATGAAGCTATCAGCAGCCACTCCCTAGCCAGGGAGCTACCCACATGGCACAGCAGACCTCTCCTGTCTCGCCCACTGCTCCCATCAGCAGTGTATTTCAGTCAATGTGCTCATTCTGCTCCCTACTCTGTCTCTGGTGAATCCTCTCATCTCCTCCTCTGCCCCTGTGGCCTACACCCTAGCTCTTATGTGCATAAATAAAGAAAATAAATCTTTTTTTAAAATAATAAAAAAATAAACTATAGGGTACAAATTATTTTATGTATTGGAATTTTAGTGCTTCAAATACTGCGTAAGCATGTAGCTAAAGATTATTTATAAGGGTACATATGGCTCTACTATAAATTATTATAACCTGTCTCATTTGACAGAATTGTCTTTCACATAATAAACAAACACTGTGTTTGCAAATTAATTCACACTAAGTGGCTACTTTCTTAAACTGTTTTAAAATCAATAGTTACGTGATTCACATAACATCTTACCCAGTCTCTGGATGTGTGTTGATTTAATTTTCTTTACATTTTGGGGAATATAAAGTCAGAAGTTAAAAATACACTATAGAAAAATTCAGAAATATTAAAAAATAAAAAAATTTAGCTACTAATTAGGTAGGTTAGAAAGTTCAGTTTCAAAAATATAAACTGTACATATTTAATTGCTCAGCATTAATTACAGAGTTCAGTATGCCAAAACATGTACTATCTAGATTCTTCTTTAGAACTAGTTATAAGATTACACTAAAGGTCTATAGAGGATGATAATCTTAATGACAGGGACAACATGCAGTTTACAGTCAAATAAAACAGTATGAACTACTAATAGTATAATCTGATTTAACCTCAATTTAGATGTTTTAATGTTTTTGGTTTTTGTTTCTATTCATTCAAAAAAAAATTTCTATCACCAAAAGTCAAAAGCAGCTATACCTGAGAGTAACTGACTCAAAAACAGTCCCAAAGTTTACAAAAATTTAACTTACATTCACTTTTGAAACTGAAGTATGGTCGATAATTTTAGATATGATCTACCACAAGTTAAAGTGGACAAATATCAGTAATTAACATACCCAAAAACTGAATTTGAAAACATGCTTTTAATCAAAAGGCACTTTTAAAATGAAATTTCCTAAAAATATGTTTGTGTAGCTAATTGATGATATGTGGCATGTTTATGCATCATCATAAGATAAAGATTATAAAAATTCTAATTTTGCATAATAGTTAAATTAATATATTCCATACATTTTAAAAAACAATTATATAAGTGATCTAAAACAAGCACCCCAATCTTATAAAGTTTCCTACAACCTTTTATACAGAATAAAACCCACTCTATATGAGGACAAGTCATTATTCAACCCACCTACCCTCACTAAACATTAAAAATCCAACTAGCTTTTAACAGCAATAACTTCTCGTCCGACTACAGAAAGAGGATGTTTGTTCTTTTCTGGGCTGATTTGTTCTCAGTTAAGAAGCCTTTAGGAAAACTAAATTACCCAAAATATGCATTCTTTCCCAAATAAAGAGAAAATAAAAGATTTAGTTGCCCAATCCAGTATTTTTAAGTTTTTCGTGTGGGAACTATTCAATTTTCTTTTGTTTTAAGTTCCCATAACTAAAATAAGGGTATATTCCAAAATTCACTTGTTTTCTTAAATGTTAGAGAAAGACCTCATGATAGATAAGCCTGTTGTTTTAAAGAAATAAAACATTTTCATAAAGACCATGTTTGGTTGTTTTTAAACAACTAGCTAGCCTACCGGTTAAAGAATCTTAAAGTGTTGTGCTGACTAGCTAGCCAATGTGTAAAATTACCACTGAATGAGAATAATAAACTAGCATAATGAACTCAAAATAAAACTTTGTTTTTAAAAAGTTAAACTTATATCTCTTAAGTATAAACTATCTCCAATGCAGTCTCAAGACACATTAGGGAAAAAAAAATGAGTATGCTAAATAAAGTGTCCCTCTCAAATGATGAGTGGTTATCAATAACCCTCAGTTTTAAAAATGTTTCTTCAATATTTTTTTCTATAGATGCCCTAAACTGATGCGGGCCATAATTGCAGTCTGCTCAGCAGAGGTCGGTCAGGACGCATACAGAAAACGTTAAAAAGTCTCACAAATAAAAATTTCCCACAAGAGTGAGACTTTTTTCAAGTCTATCCTCGAATTTTGATTCAAACCCCAAGAGCAAAAGCTGCTCTAAATCTCTAAAGTAAAATCCCTTACTGGGTGGGTGGGTGGGTGGGGCGGGCAGAACTCCCACAGACTATTAAAAATACTTAAAATATGTCTTAACTTTTCCCTTGTCCACAATCTAACAAAATGGGAAGACAATGAAAATAAACACTTCTGTCTACCCTGAGAGAGGCAAAGAAAGTTCCCATTCAAAGCTAGGCTTTATTCCACTGGAAAACATACTCCTGAAAAGTAAATCCAAAACCACAAGCTCCAACTGCTTCATGCAGAATTTACTGAATGGCGGCCAGAGGCTGTACACGCTGTCCCGAACCACACAGAGGGCTATCTAGAGTTCTGCGTTCTCCATTTACAACTTGTACCTCACTACGCTTTGCCACCGCAGCAGAAACCGATTTTTGAAATGAGCCGCAAAGGCTCCTCGGGGCTGGTCCCTCTCCTCGCTGACCACCCCCCTCACCACCCCCCTTTCTTTGTAACTGCCAGGGGTCTGGACTCCTGCAGTCAGCACACCTTTCTGACATCAACTGGGGGGCGGGGGGGGAGCGCCCTAACGTCCCGGGAGGGAGGGAGGGAAGACAGCAGCCCCGAAGCCACTCTGAAGCGCCTTTCCCCCGGCACCTGTTAGCTCGGCGCCGCGGAGGCACCTCCCGCGAGCGGCCGGCGCGGGGATGCTGCTCCCAGGCGCGCGTCCCCGGGCGACAGGTGAAGCCCGCCGGCCCGCCTCCACGCCCACGGCCCGCGGGGCGCAAACCGAAAGCCGGGCGGGCGGCCGCAGGACGCTCCGTTATCCTCACCCTGCACCGGCCCGGCCAGGTGCGCCGGGCTCCATCGCTCCCGCGGCGTCCCGCGCGCGGCGCGCCCCGCTCCACTTCTCCCGCCGCCCGGGCCCCCGGAGGCGAAGTTTCGCTCCCGCCCGTGGCGGCGGCCGCTGCTCACGCGCCGCCCGCGCTGCGAGGGTCCCGCCGCCGGCTCCGGGCGGCCTGGGTCGGCGGCGGCGGGCCTCGGGCGCGTCGGGGGCCGCCGACGGGAGCCGGAGCCGGGACCTGTCACCCAGGGCGGGAAACAAAAGCCGGTGAGGACCCGCCGGGCGGCCGCCCGCGCCGCGGCCGAGGGGAGCGCAGCCCGGCCGGGGAGCGGCTCCCGCGGCCGCCCCGCGCCGCGCCTCCCGGGGCGAGCGCCGGCCCCGCGGCCGGGCGGGGCGCGGGGGGTCCCGCGGGGGGGCCGGGGGCCTCCGGCGCGCTCGCTCCCGGGCTCCCCCCGCCCCGCTCGCCCAGACGCGCCGCTCCCGGGCTGGGGACCCGCGTGAGGGGGCGGGGAGGCGGGCGGACGAGGAAGGAGGGAATCCGGCTCCCGGGGCGCCGCGACCGCCCGCCCCATCCCCGCGGTCCGAGCGCCAGTACCTGTCGCCGCGGGGGCTCGCCGGCTCCGTCCCGCCGCCTCGCGCGCGCACCGCTGGCCCCTCAGCCCGCCCAGCAGGCCGCCCGCGCGCCGGACGCCGCCGCCCGAGACTGGCAGCGCCAGCGAACCGGCCCGAATCCCCCGGGCAGCGCCCGGCGCCGTCCCGCCCCCGTCGGTCGCAGGACCCGCCTTCCATAGGGCCCCGGGGCTGTCAGTCCGCCCCCAAAAGGCGCGCGGGCTGGAGCTCTGCCTGTCCGGATTGGTGGCCGCGCGCCGTCTATGCAAATGAGGCCACGCCCCTGTGCTTTTGCACCTCCGCCTTAGTGTAACCTCCGCCTCTTTACACCAGCCCACGTGTCTAGCCCTTGCCCTTTGTGGGGGGCCGGGGAGAAGCGATGGAGGAAATCGACCCTCACCCCCGCGCACCGTCTCTTACCTGTATGGAAACTAATTCCTAAACAAACTGGTGGGCTTCAAAGCTGAATCGCCTCTTTGAAAGTTCTGCCCTGCCCCAAGGGTGGAGAGCAGCAGACTGAGCTCTTTGTGTCCACTATGCAGGCGAGGTTAGCCCCAGGAAACAATCCCTAGAAGTCAAAGATGCCCTGTCAGGACTGAGGAAAATCCCACCTCTAGGGCCAATTCGGTACTCTGGACACCCAGTACTCTGGACACCCAGTGACTGTGCTGACCTTGCTTTCCCATGGCTTTCTGTCTTTCAAATATGAGATCCCAGCAGAGTCAGACAGAAAGGGGCCTTTAAAAATGTCTGTGTCCTCTGTCCCGATCTCCACCCCCAAAAGGTAGGGGTGCTGAGCAAATTCAGCTTCAAGAAGGGACCAGGCCGCTCCAACTAAATGGCTCCAACTAAATGGCGGCGTTTGAGTCACACCCACAGAGATTCAGGAATTCCACAGTAGGCCTGAGAGAATGGGTAGCTCAGTCCCCTCAACCCCCTCCTTCTGTTTCTGAAGAAACAAAAGTAAGTTCCCATAGCTAGTTAGTTACCTATGAGACTTAATAGTTACTTATGGAAGCCTAATGTCCCATCGCCAGGTTTAGAAGCCAGATCACCTAGCTCCCAGTCTGCATTCTGCACTATGCCATGTATGTTGGTCATTCAGGTACTTAAGGAGATTCTCTTCTACCAATGCCAGTGCTGTGTGCTGGTGCTATTCCCAGCCTTCAAGAGGTGGTACCTGCAAAAAAGACAACTGGAGTCAACGCTAAACCCTCCTTGAGGGCAGGGACTTTTTTTTAACCAGCTGCCAGGGTGAGTTACTGAAACAATTTATCCATCCATTAATTCAACAAGACAATGGTGGTTAAAACTTCATGCTACTGCCAGTTGATTAAGCATCAACTATGCTTGATAACAGTAACTTAAATACTGTGTTATGTGTAGCATATACAGAGGAGAGGTGATACTATCCCAGCTCTGAGGGCTTCAGTCTCGGGGACAGTGCCTTCCACATTGCATGTCAGCGCACGTCAGGTTACAGGGACTGTCACAGATGTCTCTGCATTAGGACACAGTGGAGACCTTCAAGGAGGGAGGACTTGCCTCTTTTGGGGAGAGGCAGGAAAGCTTCATTGAAGAGGTGACACTAGAGCTGAATCTTAGAAGATGAGTTCTTAAAACAATAGTGTTGGCCAGATGGAAGAATGTGGAAGAGGAAGGAGGAGACTCCTGGGCAGAAGGAGGATAGCATGAGTAAAAAAGCACACAGACCTGGAAAAGTCTAGTAATTGAGGGAACATCAAGGAGCAGTGTGGGCAAATCTGCAGGGCTGTGTGGGCATGTCACATGCTCTGGGACCAGATTCTTCCAGGAGGAAGACAGAAAGGCCCGGGAGGCTGCCAGGCTGTGTTGTAACACACCGCAGCAAACAACAACAGGCCCTGTAGATACAGCTGCAGTCTTTTTTTCTAGGCCAGTGTCTGGGGAACAGTCAGTTCCACAGTTTTGAAGGCAGCCTGGCTGGTCCCACCCACTCTCAAAAAACCACTCCGGTCACTACACTTGCCCTCCTCAGAATTTGGAAACACATGTGCTTGCACTTTCCCTAAACATTGCTGCCCTTCAGAATCAAAGGTTATATGGGCCATGACCGGGTGTGAGAAGAGCTACCTTTTCTGATGCTGCCTTTTCTGGCTTCATGGGCATGCGATCTGGACACATAGGCCCCTACACTGAGCGGGGCGCTGTGCTTGGTTTAATGCTCTGCTGTAGCCATCTTGAAATTATTAATAATTTTCCACTGGGGGCCCCAACTTTTCTTTTTGCACTTAAACCTGTAAATTATGTAGCCAATCTCTCAGGTCATTACTAGCTGCCCCTGGGAACACCTGTAATACTGCTCAAACCCTGTCTATTCGCTTTTTCCAAGTTGCCTTTTTTTTTTTTCTTTTTCTGTTCAACATCCTGTTCTGCAGCTTTGTTGGTCTTTTTTGCACAATGTCTAAGACCTGGGCATTGGTGCCAGCCATGGGGAGACACATGGACACCTTGAAATTCTTTATGATGACCTTGGCTTTCTCCTTCTTATAGACATCCTTTATGGGCCTGGCTGCATATCTCACTTTTTAAGTACTTAGCATTCACCAGGTTTGCGCACAGGCATTATATCACTTGATTCTCACTCACAACGGCAATGTGGGGGTATTACTAGTCCCACTTATTAGTCTTGAAAAGTGAAGCTTGGCAACGTTCTCCAGGTGAAAAGGGCAGAGCTCATGTTTGAACTTGGCCCACCCAAGCGCTGTTCCACCTGCCATGGAGCTGCCTCTCTGTCGGTTTCATAATGCTTTCAAAGGCAAATTCGTACATGAAGGGTGCACTGTTTTAAGAGTCAGTACACACAGTGGAGTAGATGTGTCATTTCATGACTGCCTGTCACATTTTGAATAGTTTTGCATCAATTTTGAAAAATTCTCAGCCATTATATGTTCAAATATTGTTTCTGTATTTTTTTCCTTTCTTTCTGAGCCTTCAATTGAAACACACATTAGACCTTCTTACACGTTAGTCCTTTCTTCTGTGTTTCCTATCTTTTGTCCTTCCATGGGTTGTTCTAAAAGTTTCTTCTGACATTTTTCAGTTCATTAATTTCCTTTTAAGCTTTTTTTTTTTAAATCTACCCTTTTACTTTTTTTTTTTTTTAAAGATTTATTTATTTATGCATACAAGAGCTAGGGTATAGGCCAGAGGTGTAGGGCTGGGGGATGGGGGGTGTGAGAGAATTCACCAGAGACAGAGTAGGGAGCAGAAGAGGTGGATCTACTGAAATACACTGCTGTTGATAGCTTCATAGTGCTATGACTTAACCCCTTGTGCCACCAGGGTAGTTCTCTTCTTCAGCTTTTCAAAAATGTTTCTTTTTGGGCCTCCCTGGTGGTGCAAGGGCTTAAGCACTGCAATATGAAGCAATCTGCAGCCTCTGCAGCACAAGTTCGATCCCCTGCCGGCCAGAGAGAAATCCATATGGCGCAGCAGAACTCTCCTGTCTCACCCGCTGCTCCCCTCAGCAGTGTGTTTCAGTCGGTCTGCCTGTTCTGTTCCTCACTCTGTCTCTGGTGAATCCTCTCAACCCATGCATCTCTGGCCTGGACCCCAGCTCTTGTATGCATAAATAAATGAATCTTTAAAAAAAAAAACAAAACAAGAAATGTTTCCTTTAAACCCATCCATTAGGCTCTTAAATTTGGTTATTCTATTTTTTTTCAGTTCTAAGATTTCTATTTGGCTCTTTTTTCAGATCTCTTTTTATATCTCTTAGTGCCTTGCTATAATTTTCTCTCCTTAAACATAGTAAATATGACTACAGGCAACTATCTGCAAGCAAGGAAGGGCACCTATAAAAACCCCACATTAAATAGGATACTATGGAGCCTCTCTGGTGGTGCAAGGGGTTAAGATGCAACCTATGAAGCTATCTACAGCCACTGTAGCACGAGTTCAATTCTGGCCAGGGAGCTACCCACATGGAGCAGCAGACCTCTCCTGACTTGCCTGCTGCTCTCCTCAGCAGTGTATTTCAGTCAATCTGCCCGTTCTGTTCTCCACTCTATCTCTGGTGAATCCTCTCACCCCCTACACCTCTGGCCTATACCCCAGATCTTCTTTGCATAAATAAATAAATCTTTTTAAAAAAAGTTTAAATATGACACTATGACTAGTGTCATACTTAATGGTGAAAGACTGGATACTTTCCCCAGAAAAATAACACAAGAAATAAGACTAAGATATCCACTCTTGTCACTTCTACTTAACATTGTACTGGAGGTTTCAGCCAGGGAAATTAGGCAAGCAATTAAAAGGCATCAAGACTAAAAAGGAAGAGGTAAAATTATCTCTAGTCACAGATGACACGATCTTGTATATAGAAAAGGAATCCTCTAAAGGACTATACACTAAAAAAATCAGCAAAGGGGCCTCCCCGGTGGCGCAGCGGTAGAGCGCTGGGTTGCGAAGCTGCCCGCAGCCTCTGCGGCGCCGGTTCGATTCCCGGCTGCTCCCCGGCCACCGGAGGAGGGTCCCACATGGTGCGCAGACCTCTCCTGCCACCCGCTGCTCCCCTCAGCAGTGTACTTTGGTCCTTCTGCCTGTTCTGCTCCCCGCTCTGGCTCTGGTGAATTCTCTCACCCTCCCGCGCTTCTGACTGTACCCAGTGCATGTATAAACAAAACAAATGAACAAACAAATAAATAAATAAATAAAACATGCCTCTATAAAAAAAAAAAAAAAAAAAAAAAAAAAAAAAAATCAGCAAAGTTGTAAGACACAAGATCAATAAAAATAATCGTATTTCTATGCGTTTCCACTGAATAGTCCAAAACGAAATTAAGGGGGAAAGTTATGCATAATAGTATCAAGAAAATAAAATGCTTCAGAGTAAATGTAACAGGGCCCTCCCTGGTGGCCTAGAGGTTAGGTAATTGCATCGCTATCATGGTGACAGCCTGAGTTCAATCCCTGGCCAGGGAGCTAACCCCCATCTGGCACAGCAGACCTCTCCTGTCTCACCTGCTTCTCCCCTCAGCAATGTATTTCACTAGATCTGCCTGTTCTGCTTCCCACTCTGTCTCTGGTAAATTCTCTTAACCCCCGCACTTCTGGACTACACCCCAGTTCTGC